GTATTGTTCTCGTTGATGACGTCGCGAATTGCGAAATAACAACAAACAACAACCTTTCATGTTCATTTCGAGCGGATGCCACTTCGAGCGAAGGCCAATTCGAGCGAATTCGAGCGGATTTTTTTTCGAGCGGATGCTAGTTCGAGCGGAAGAAGATCCACTTGTGCGAACAACAACCTGTGCGAGTTATATACGAATTACTTTAAAATTTCTATTATTTCTATTTTTGTATAAGCCAAGCTTTGCCTGGGAGGCAGGCAGGCCCAGGCGAAGGTCGGGGTAAGAATTCAAAATAAAATGTTGACCATTTTTTCCAACAATTATACTTGCTTTCCTTGACACTTATTTTGAACATTACCATTAGGAAAATGTTTAAATCCACACTATCCTATACATTACACTTTTAAACTGATTGTACTGTAGGCCCTACAAGAGAGAGTGAGAGGTATATTTCCAATACGTTACTGTCTTCCACTTCTATAGCGCATGGTACAGTGCATCAAACGTTATGTAACCACTAATAATACTTAGGTCCAGTGGCGTAGGTATGGACAGTGCACAGCACTGGGGCCCGGGGCTATTGGGGGCTCGTTCAATAGGTCTAATGATCTAAAAATATAACTTAAAAAAATCCTATTTAAACTTTAAAAAGACCCTTCAATAATTAATAGGTTTTAAATGCTATATATTATTGATTATATTCATTACAATTTACCTATTACCTATTTCCCAAACAAAACAATCCCTTGCGTATACGATGCACTACTTTTTTGAAATCACATTTCTGAAGCAATAAAATGTCGTCACGCACATTTGTGTTTGTGGTATTAAAGTTGGTTGAACTATTATTGTGTACGTTTTTAAACACTTCAGATCATCATAACATCATGAATACATTTTACATTCAATTCACTGCAAGTAGGTCGACTGTCTCTTATAGGTCGATGACTGTTCTATTATTGAATGGTAAATGTTATTTTCGTGACGATAGACAATACCTGGATTTGCGTCAGGAGAATCAATTAGGGGGCCTATATGTATTTTGCCCAACCTGTCTTGAAAATATTTTGAATACTCAGTGCGTGATTCAATATACATTTTTAAATCACATTTCTAACGCAATAAAATATCGCCACGCACATTTGTATTTGTGGTATCACTGTGTCCCACTATAGCCAATTTGGCAACCACTGGACACAATGAAAAAGAATAGGATTATCTTGGAAAATATTAAACAAGATATTTATAGTTTATCAAAGTTTATTATTTTTTTTAAAGA